GAATGGGGCTGCCAGCAAGGAACGGGAAGAGAGGATGGAGGAAATAAGGATAAAATGCCCTCATTTCAATTATTCTTAGCACAAAGTGGAGGGCCATATAGGCAATCCTATGCCAAGTCAGATCCATCTAGGACTAAGGGTCTTCCCCTGAGAATATGATGACTGTGGTGACAGTACCAAATTTTTTTTAACTGCAGAAGGCTGGGTTTTACCACAACATAGTCCTGAATCTGATGGCCAGTGAAACCTGGTTTTAAACAGCACAGCAAGAGTTAAGCTTAATGTGGTTCTGCTATGTTCAGTCCAATATCAGTGCAATCCCTGCCCTAAAAACCTCAAAATCTAAACAGATTAGACAAAGGATAAGAAAAATGTGAGAAGACTTGCCTGAAATCAATTTACAGTTCGGTAGTAGTGCCAGAAACTTCATTCCCTCATCAACACTGGTAGGTGGAAGGAGAGTGGCTGAATGAGTCTATTTCTAACAGCAAGACATGGGGAGAAAAGCTTCACAGTAGTGCTGTCACCTTCAAAATCCCCCACCCCGTGGAGCTGCTTCTTATGGATGAGAATGCAGAGACAGATCTGCTTGGTTTAGGCCAGGAGGGGATGCAGGAGAGGATTTAGGAGGATAAGACCTCAGGAAGACTAAGACTCCCTTAAAAAATCATTCAAGTCTGATGAGGAAACGAGTTAGTGGAGAAAATTCCTCTGACTGTAAAGTTTTAAATTCATAAGATTGCACAAAAGAAGACCACTGTGTTGTAGGAGGCACTGGAGAAACATGGGAGTGGCAGGTTGGTCAGGGAAAGAGAGCAGCGAGAGCACAATAGAGCATCACAACCCCTTTTTCCTCCTGCAAGCCTGCAGAGAAATACAGAATAGAGTTAATTGGCCAAGATATTGCTAAGTGCCAAGCTAATTAAATTTGTGAGTCCTTCGTCTCCTGCAGATCTTCTCACCAAATTTTCTTGCACAAGCCTTGAATTTGCTAATCCCCAAGGAAGCAGTTCCAGGCACCACCCTGTCTGACCTGTGCTGATGAAGATGAAGCTGATGCATCCACACAGCTTGTGGGAGTTGGAGATACTCTGCAGTTTTAGGAATAGATCTGCTGCCAGTTAATTTGTTAAATTAACAAAAGGTCAGAGGCACTTCATCCAGAGAAGAGCTCTTTGCATGAGAAACTTCGCTGAAAAGTGCCTCAGGTGACAGCTTCACTCCACAGTGCTGATAGCACCTGCCCATATCTATTTGTGCCACGGTGCTCTTGGCTAGAAGCTTGTAAAATAAGTGGGAAACAAACTGGCTTGGATGCCAAAGAACCACACACATTTAAACAAGCTTTCCAAGCATTTAGACCAGTTGGTTTCACTTTTTTTTATTTACTTCAGCCATGTCTTCACAAATTGTGGCTCTTAACCAGCCTGATCTTATTGGATTTGTGAGATGGTAATGACTGAGATCTTGTGAGAAAATCTGACCAATTCTAACCTAATTAGTGAAAGAGCAAAATAAGCCATGAATCCAGATTAAATCACTAGACCTCCTGACCTTTGCTAATCATTACCAATACTCCTGTGACTTCCACTCTGGGGCTTGTAGGTAGCTCCGTTGTGAAGAAGTGGTCTTAGGGGAGCTGAAACTTGCCCAGTAATGCAGAAGGGTCAGCTTAACCTATAGAATTGCCACTTGCTATTTGCAAGTTAACAAATCTTCTGTAAAATGTAACAGGATTGCCTCAAACAATGCTAGACTGCTAGAAAACAAATTTGCTTGTTAATTCACTTAGCAAAGTCAGTGCCAACTGGGTAAGTACAAGATAAAACCCCAAAATAGCAGAGGGGTCAATGCTATCTCAGTCCCCTGAGAGAAAAAAAAAAAGGTGTAAAATGATGTGGTTATACTTTGCTTCAACTATACCAGCTCTTAAAATCTTTTGTTCCAGCTGATGGTGCCAAACTAAGTTAAAGTAATGAGATTAAAGAAAATACATATTTTTAGTCTAGGTACTGTTCTTATTTTATAACTTCATCGTAACTCCTCTAAAGCTGCATGTATCACCTATACAGTTAAAGCAAAAATGTAGCACTGAGTGTGAGTTATACAGGCAATGTGTCAGCCTTCCTCACCTTCAAGACAAACTCTTCCTGTTGGTCTGTTCCAGGCCAGCCATTAGGTAGGCTCTACCAGTGTGGCTGCACTTCCATTATTCAAGGTGAGGCATGCAAGGTCTTTTATTGATGCACCTTAATTAAAACTGGTTCCCCACAAAGTGTCTCATGCATTGGAGCTTCGAATTGGAAGGGTCTGTAAAAACCTAAGAAACTCTGGAAGAATTTCTTCACTGAAGGGATGGTCAAGCATTGAGCTCACCTCAGGAAGGTGGTGGAGTCACCATCCCTGCAATTGTTTATGTGGCATTTAGTGCTATGATTTAGCTGGCATGGTAGTAATCCATCAAGAGTTGGACATGATGATCTTGGAGGTTTTTTCTAACCTAAATGATTCTGGGATTCTTTGAGTGTATGACCCTCCAGTTCAGCCTCCTGATAGCATGAGTAGCAGAAAAGCTAATGCCTTTAAGCAATTTTGAAAGACACTTAAAAAAAAAAAAAAGGAGAAAGAATAAACTCAGTTAAAGCCTCTAGAGAAACAGCAAGGGAGTTTATGATGAACAGCAAGTTCATCATTTAACCTCTTGCAAATGGAGGTGTGCACAGTCCTGCTGAGACTTGCCCAGCTTTATGATCAGGGAGAAATGAGCCATGGGGATTTTGTTGCAGGCCTAAATTTTGCCCAAGTAGCATTAAATCTTGCCTTAACTGGAGTATGTCTGATGCTGAAAAAGCTTGCAGATAGATTATGCCTGTGTAAAATGGGAAGCAAGACAGCTTTTGCTTTTGTCTGATAGAGGAAATGGGGAACTGAACCATGAATTATTGGAATGTTTAGCTTCCTCAGGCTCTGCAGTTACCTTGCAACAGCATGCACCTACATATTTGGCACGCTTTCCCAACAAGGTCACCAGGCTGGTAAGCAGAGGCACAGAGGGTATCAGTGTGCTGGTACCTACTCAGCTACACAACTGCTAAACAGAGGCACAGGCTTGGAGTTTGACCTCAATTGCAACTAGAAAGAAGCTTAAAGAATAAATCCCTTTAACATGTGATGCACCTCAGGACAACCCAGCCGTGCTGCTGATGGTGGAAATGATCAGCAGAGTAAATACTTGGAGAATGGGGGGTTTGATGCCCAGAGCTCGAAGGTTTTCTTGGATAAACCTCAGCCTTGGGCTGCGGTTTTGAAGCTAAGAGGATGCAGCTGATCTCCTAACTTTAGGGATGCCCTGGGACAGCAGGTGTGATGCTGGGCCCAACACTGCCTACTAAGATGTCTGTTGTCAGCAGGGAGGGGGACATGAAGAAGGTGAAGAGCATGGGGCACAGTGCACATGTTACTGAATGACCAAGTCTTCTGATAGGAGATGGCAAAGAAGAGCTCCCTGGGCACTCCAGGTAAACAGACAAACCTTGGTCACCCTTGTTCACATGCTTTACCTGGTTCACATCCCTGGAAGTGTTCAAGGCCAGGTTGGATGGGGCTGTGAGCAATCTGGTCTAGTGGAAGGTGTCCCATGGCAGGGGGGATTGGAACTGGATGATCTCTAAGGTACCTTCTAACCCAAACCATTATAGGATTCTGTGACTCTGCCACCTCCTGGGGAAGGTGTACAGAGCTGGCCCAGCACAGACAGATCATTGAAGAGCTCTGACAGACTTAGCCTGCCCAGGAGAGACTGCAGGTGGGTCTACTCTGGCCCTTCACCACTAAAATTGAAGGACGTGCAGTTTGGGGGTAAGGAGTTTCATTATGAAGGTTGTGTTTGTTTTTGCTCATGCAGTTTGGAGCTAAAAGAGTTCCTTTTCAGGGTTGTGTTGGTCTTTGCACTTCCAGGTGTGCTTTGCTCCAAGGCTGTGAGTAGTTTTGGGCATTTATTTCTCACCAGGCATAAGCAAGGCAAGGGAAGCATTTAGCACGGTGTGCTTCCCCGTGGAGTCCCAGCAGGGGGGTGTTTCCCCCTTTCAAAGCCTTCGAGCCTTGTGGAAGGGAAATGCAGCCAGCAGGATGTACTGTGCTGCTGCACTGGGGTTTATGTTAATGTCTGGCTCATTTCTGCTGGAAATTGCAGAATCTTTCCTGTGGAAGTAGCAGGGAGCTTAGCCCTTCATGTACATATAGACTGATGTATATTTCAATGGAGAGAAGGCTTAGAAGGCATGTGAAACACCAGACCAAAACAGAGGAGGGGGCAGAAATCAAACAGTTCAAAGGGGGTTTTTCACAAACTTCCATGCAGTGTTTTTATATTTTTAATTCCTCTAACCCTTAATTCCACTTTATTCTCTCTGTCTGTGTTTACATGTTTACAATAGGCAAGGGAAAATCTGTCTTTTTCTTTTTTTTTTTTTTTTTTTGGAGTGGATGAGGGGAAGTCCAAGAGAAACTTTCTGAGTGCCTGAATTGAAAAATCAGTCATATATTCCATATAACCAAGTACTTTAAAGAGCTATAGACACAGAGAGTTGACATTAAACTCTATCTGCCCACTACACCACCTATCTGCTTTTCCAACTGCCCCCCTTTCCCCTCCCAAATGGAAGAAAATACCTATTTGAGATGAGAGGAGGTCGTGCCTGGGATCAACAGGCAGCCATGAGACAGGGACAGAGCTCGCAGCCTCCCCGTACCCCGCCTGGCCGTGCATGTCCAACACTCGCGTCTCCCTCAGCCTCTCCCAAATCCTCCTCGCCGGTCTCGGTGCCGGCAGCCCGGAGAGCAGCTGGAGCGCGGGATGGAGCAGAAAGCCTGAAAACTTCATTCTGCAGAGGGACCTCTAGTGTTTTCCTTTCTCCATGTCCTGGCAGAGTTCCTCCAAAGTACAAATACACACAGAGCTCCCATTGTTTGCAGCCCTTCACAAGCCCACTGATCCTAATATGGAATTCAGCAGGAAACCCATGATTTCCTGACACACAGCAAGCTGGAGAAAGAAAGGAAAAACTCCATTAAAAACCTCCAGGCTCTCCTCCATGTTAGAAATGAAATGGAAAATGGAGTGGATTTAACAGGAGTCCCTGATTCCTGCGTCCCAGCTGGAGAAAGGGAGACGCGAATCAGAGCCGCAGGCTGCTGATATTTTTGAAGTCGCAGTAAATACTGAGAACTGCCGGCCAGGATGAGGATTTCCTGACTGGGACAAACGAAACGGGACAGATCTCTTTTTTATGGTATTCCTCTCTACGAATTTAATTTATTTACCTCGATGATTCTCTTGACTGATCTGGTAATTGTTAGAAGCGGCTGTGACAGCCTGGAAACATTACTATGATTTCCTGAGTTTGAGATTTGCTGCTCGCCCCCTCCTCCCCCCAACTCCAAACTCAGGAAAAGTCAATACAATCGCACTTCATTTTTCCTTCATGTGCACTTGGAAGTCCTGGGAGCAGCAAGAGCAGCAGCAGCGACAGCAGAAGCAGCAGCAAGAATGAACTGCAAGGAAGAAAATGACAACTGCACTGATGGGAGCAGGAATAACACCAAGAAGATGTTAAAATGCGTGGTGGTTGGGGATGGTGCAGTTGGGAAAACCTGCTTGCTGATGAGTTATGCCAATGATGCCTTCCCGGAGGAGTATGTCCCCACTGTGTTTGACCACTATGCAGGTAAGAAAGTGCTTTAAAAAGAAATTTAATTGAGAGCTGCGGGACAGCCAGGTGGGAGGTAAAGAAAACTCGAGGAGAGGAGAGGACAGTTCAAAAGGGATGCATGGGTTACTTCTTGTCCCGGAATGTCATTCAGGCCTGGATGGTAGCCAGGCAGCTTAGATGGCAGCACATAAAATTGGGGCAATGCAGGATTTATTCAGAGGACTTATTTGTTTGCTTCTGATTCTTATTTTGGTTTTGGCAACTAAGCAGCGTTAGGGGTGCCATTAAATCCACCGAATTTTGGGGACAACAAATGTAATTCAGACTCTATTGACTGTATTCTTGGTTGGTTTTTGAAGTTCTGAGCTTTGCAGTCTGCACTTATGAAGACCATATATATATATATATATATATACAAAAAAAATATATATACTGTCGTGATCTTGTGCCTCATGGCAAATGATGAATAAATTACAATAATTATATCCTATTTAAGGAATAATCTTTGAGAATATATCCTATTTAAAGAGTAAACTTTTTGAGAAAACCAGCATAGTATCTTTCAGTGCTGTCAGAATATAACTGTCCTTTCAGAGGCGTTTGTTACTCCATCTATAAATAGATTTTAATACTATAACTTGGTGATAGGGAAAGCAGAAGTGGTCATTGTTTTGAATACTTTATAGTGAGATAATTTGTAGTATAAGAAAAAATACAAACATAATCAAGATCATTGATGATGTTCACTGCATTGATGTGCAGAACAGACACACAGATTAAGTGCAATATTCACAGCCTCTTTCTGTAGCAATTACTTACTTTATCCAGCTGTGTCCAAAGTTATCACACAGATGGTTTATAGACTAAAACTGGTGCTCAAACATCTGCTTAAATTTTACTATCCCAAATTCTACTGTTTTTCTTCTCACAGTGTTCTTTGGCTTACAGTTGTTGTTTATGAGATCCCTGACAAACAGATTTTAGAAGCACTGCAAAACTCATTGCTTATCTTGCAGCAGCAGTTGGAGTTTAGCTCGTTCTCTTCCCACCTCCTTAAAAACTGAATTTTCATGGCGTGGCTTATCATGTGTTTGGTATTCTGTAATGGGAAAATCTCTGTTTGCATTCTGGCTTCATGTCAGGTTTAGCAGATGAACTGGCCAAACAAGAAAGCTGTGTAATTGCAGAATCTGATCCATGGAAATGTGAAGACCTTTTCCTCCACAAGAGTGGGCAGCGTCACTTCTAATGCAAGCAACTTGCATTCTCTGCCTTTCCCACCAGATAGATTGAACGACCTCTTTAGAAGAAAACCTCTACACAGACAAAATATAAGACAGAATATTGCATGTTGTAAATGTGTACTTCCATGAGCCAGAATCCATAAGGGAGCCTGGCTGCCCTATGTTGCAACAGCACCCACTTTCCCCTGATAATTTCAGATCTGTTCATCCCTTACAATATGCTGGTCCCAGCATCCGCTGCCCTTCTCCCACTCTCTCTCATGCCCTGCAAATATCTCTGCATATGGAAAAAGCCACACACTAGCTGGTGCCAGACCACCTAAGCGTCAGTCTGGGTGAGTTTGGAGTGAGTGTGGGGACACTCATGCATGCATGGGGGCTGTGCACACACAGGCACTGATGCCAGCCAGGCAGGCTGGCACTTGGTGAGGGCACCACTCCGAGTTTCTCTCCCCTGCTCAGCTACAGGTGACTCACAGGGACTTGCTTTGGTTTCCTTTCCTCTGTTAGAAGTGGTAGAAATTGCCAGTGGGCTCAAAAGTTACTGAGAGAAGGATGGAAAGATGAAGAAGCATAGTCCTGGTTTCCTTTGGGTACCAGGTAAGAGCAATATGCAAGCACTTTTAAATCAAGCTTCATTTTCAGGATTTGAAGATTTACCCTATAAAATATCTCCAGCTATTCTTATCTGCCTTCTTAAGTATGATAGCACATAAGTATAAACTATGGATATTTTCAATGGGAAAATTCAGAAAGATAAGGGAAAAAATAGCTCTGTATATTAGCATGCTACTCTGAGACAAACCCTGTCCAGAAGCAGTGGTCAAAACTAGCATTGATCAAAAAAGGAATTTCATTTTTGGGGGGAATCCCATTATTTATTAAACCAATTTCACTACAAAACTGCACATAGAATTGAGCAGTAGAAATTACTTCCAGAGCAGAGTGCTGGAAAAGGTCCCACTCATAAAAATATTGCATGGCTTAAAATATAACATAACCTATTTAAAATACTGTGGATATTGACTGAGAAAAGAACTCACTTCGGGCAGCCTTATCCCTGGACTTACAGGCTTTGAGATATTCTGTTGGAACAGCCTCTTCCACATCTACCTGCACGAAAACCCATGGTGGAGAGAAGTGGCATGGCAGTACCATGGGCATGGGGACATCACTGGCACCACAGCACACAGGGAGGCTTCATACATGGGCAGATCCTGCAGGGTGTTGGAGACTCTGGAATATCACTTTTGAATTTACCCCGGGGAACTGGTTTGTTTACCCTTGCCCTTGTCCCTGCTGAAAGCAACTCTTTCAGCTTCTCCAAAGAAGCTGAAACTGTTAGATTCAGTCCTTCTGTGCTGGAAATTTTCAAAAGCAATTAATTGCTGCAGATATTTTCAAAGCTGCACTTTCCACTGAAGGTTTTCAACCCAGGAGTTATTACCAGCAGTGGTGTGTCAGCAAGTGCTTCCTCTGATTCTCACCTGATTGTGAGTCCCGGGGCATTTACCCCTTTACCTCTTTCTAATGGAAAATGTAGGGGGGGGGGGAACATTAAAAATCAAGGATTCCAGTGGTGATCTCAGAGCAGTTTCTCACTGCCACGACTCCAGTGACTCGAGGGAGACAGTGATGCTATCCAGCCCAGCATTGGGAAAAGCTCCAGCTGCACCACTGCTGTGGCCAAGGCATTAACTGTTCATGGCCCCAAAGCACCAGCTACATGTACTTGCCCTGCTGCATTGCACCTTTTTAGTTCTTTCCCTGGACAGGTGTTCATGGAGCAGGTGAAGCAAGTGGACATACTGACAAGAGTGGCCCAGAGGAAGAAACCAGTGTTTCAAAGGGCTGAGCTCCAGCAGTGTTAGATCTGTACAGTATTTATTCTGTGCCTTTCGCATGAAAGGGCTTGAAACCACTTTATAAAGTTTGGGACCAACCTGCCTCTAAGAAAATCTAAAATACAGTAGCTGAATTTCACTTAGGGAAGGAACAGATATTCCTATAGATAACTCACACAACATTTACAACTGGATACGGCGATGCCTGGGACGAAAGGCTGTTGGTGTTTCACCACAGATGCAGCTGCACTGTACAAAATTCCAAACCAGTTATTAGCTCCACACTAGTAATATTCTGCCACAGATTTCACCCACAGTCCACAAAACCAAATTTCTTCAGGGCCTGTTGCCAGGGTTGGGGTGTGATGCATGTAGAGTAGGTTCAGAGCAATGCCAGACAGATGGGGAGGGCAAATTTGTTACTTGGATGTGAAAATGGTTTCTTTCACTGGATGTATGGAAGTTCATGAGTCTGGTTATTTCTCAAGGCATTTTGGAGAGGTTTTGCTAGAGGCCAGAGCCCTGAGTAGGTTTTCTTACTTTGGTGAATTTCCAAGTCCCACACTGGAAGTGTTTAGCCACGAGGTAAATGGTTGTTTCTAGGGCAGGCGAACCAAAGTGCTATCCCAGTGACAAACAGGATATTACTGGCAATAACTGTAACAATGGGGACTGTTTGGATAGTGAGTAGGTGCTTTGACATGCTGGTTCCATTCTGTCTTTTGAACATCAAATGCTGATTTTCCGTGAGCAAAGGTCTCTCAGCCAGGGTGACTTGTATTGTGTCTAGTTATGTAAGGTTATACATGTTTATTTAGGGCTGAGGTTGGACCAACAAAAAAATTCAACTCAACTACCAGCAGAGTTGGTTTAATAGTACCAAAGTTAGCCGACTTACTCTGTGAAATACAGAAGGGAGATGTGTGTTACTTGTTTCTTAGACAGCCACCAAGCATCCCATTTTATATTCATGAAGCCTAAAAGCACTGCAATTTTTAGCATGACATTTATTCACCCTAAAATCTATATTTAGGCTTCCTGGAGAGGAGACCAATGTCCCTCGCCTGTCAGTGTTTAATAGGCATTTGGACGATGCCCTTAATGACTTGCTGTAACTTTTGGTCAGACCTGAAACGGTCAAGCAGTTGGACTAGATGATCACTGTAGGTCCCTTCCAAATGGAAATATTCTATTCTATTCCAATGTGCATTCTTTATGTAAAAAAACCCTCAGTGCTTGAGGAGCAGTAACAATGGCATGCAACTAACTTGGCCCATTGAGCAGACAAAGGTGAATGGGCTCCTTAGATGGTTGCAGTCTGAGGAGAAGAGGGTTGTGACTACTAAACTGTCTAGTTTAGGCACAGTGCAGACATGAGTACCATACAAATAGCTTTAAAAGCCAAAGTTGCATCTTAGGGAAATGAGCGAGGTCAGTCCTTCCAAAGGAGAACTGCAAAGCATCTGCAAAAAGTAAATGGTGTAAAAATGTCCCTCCCTCCCCTCGTGTGTCGGCACAAACTGGTGAATATTTATAAATAGTGAATCCATTTGAAAAAAATTAGCAGTGGCATGTGATCAGCTAATGAATAGCATACAGAATAGCTCAGCCCTGACTGAAGCTCTGTAAATAAAAAGCAATATAGAAGACAGACATTACTTACTGTTAGGAGACACATTTTTTTGTTCTTTAGTGATGATTCAATGTAATCTGTCTGACTTTGCACTGAAGTGGGCTGGAGCATTCACCAGTTTCACAGAGGAGTGATCCCAACCTTGCTGGCCAGACAAGCCAAGTAAGAAGGGAGAGTCTCCTGCTCTGGCATTTTTATTAGCATAGGGGCAGTACTACTACTATTGCCCAGAGCAGCCAGCTTGTACCTGTGCAAATCCATAAATCTATTATATTTTGTCTATATGCCAGAGCA